TGAAATTAGTTTCAGTATTTCCTCATTTTAGTTACTGACAGATGGTGGATCTGAAGAGGAGGTTCAACTGCTTACAGGACTCGGACAAGCACATCTCACTCTTGGTGATATTCAGCAGGCAACACAGGTGAATTTACTGTGACAGTCATTTACAGTGTGTCTTCATATAAACTGTGTTGATATGAGAACTGATCGTCATGATTTTGTATTGTGAGTTTGTGACTTAAAAATGAGTTTTTGTTTCAGATCTGTGCAAAAGCTCTAACTATTGACAAAAGCTGTCCATCAGCTCTGGCATTGCAGGTAACGTAGGTTAAAACAGTGACTGTATCTTTCCCTCTTGCCAACTAATATTTAAGTGTACTTTTCTACTTCAGCTCATTTATGCAAGCTTTTTAGCTTCTCAAAACCTTGACGATTGGTAGATTGTTTCCTGGTTTTTTTTTTTTTTTTTTTTTTTTTGGTGCAGGGTCAAATAAGTTTCCATGAAGGTTACTTTGATGATGCAGAGTTAAGGTATGCTTAAGTGCACATCAACCCTTTTCCAGCGTTCTCCTTATCAGGCGGTAACTGGTAAAATTTACTGCTTGTAAGAACACTTATTACCACCTGCAAACGCTCAGAACCCTTAAAAAATACGCATTTATGGTGAGCTAATCTGATAAGAAAGTGTAATAACAAGCCAACAGTGTGTACTATTATAGATCTATGTGTGCTTTAGTTAGCTAACACTGATTGGTACCTTTCAAATTTTGAAGCAAGAGTGATTTTTTGCAGGCTTTCTGCTAAATCTCATGACATTTGTCTGTTCTCTGCACATGCAAATGTGGTGTCATTTAGTTGTTCAGTTTCCATGATGAAACGGTAGCAAACAATGCTGTTGTTTCTGTCCAGTAACAAGAGGTCACAAAGGGTGGCTGGTAAGCTTTACAAGAATTTTAGGGGTAAACAAAACAAAGGTTACATACTAGCGATGGAAAAGCAGCCAATTGCCAGATATAACTGCCTTGACAAAGCCCAAAAATCAAAGGGAGACCAGTTTATGTTATAAGCTGTTTGGAAAGGGCATAGTCAAATATAATGCTTTTAAACAAAATTTTACTTTGTTTTGTTCAACCTCTGAACCTAAAGGTGTATCATTCACATTATGAATTTTTTGATGGAGAATTTTTGATAGGCATGATGTACTGTATGCTTTAGGAAATGACAAAGTTGAGAATGACCAGCTGCCTGAAGCTGTGAATGTGCTTTACTGGTTTGAAAAGGTCCCTTACCTGTTGTGCTGAAAACTAGGGGGAACCCTGCTTTTCACCCTGACATCGGTGTGCACATATATTTTCCATACTGTTCACTATGCATTTCCTAAGTTGCTCATAAAGAGGATTTGTTTAACAGTCAAGAGCTTCTTTTGATTGTGATCATTCTCTTTATTCTTGATACTTAAATGATTGATTCAGATGTGATATTGTGAGGAGAAATTCAAATGCTATCACTCCTCTGTGTCAAAGGGATGGTGTGACATTCAACCTTATTGTTTAGTTGGCTGAATATTTATTGAAAACTTGAATTAGCCACCTGCATCTTGCAGAGAAGCAAGAAGTGTTTGTTGATCACAGTTCTTTTAAATAACCTTTGCACATGCTGTTTAATTATTTTTATCAGCAAATTTATACAAAGATGACATATTAACTATGATATGGAGTGAAAAGGTTTCTCTACAACTATGGTGTAGAATGTTTTTAAGTGGTTGTTTTAATGGATTGAAATTGAAATTAGGTTTTTGGAAGCAATAGAGAAATGTGAGGATTGTGCATTTTACCACTTTCTTCTTGGCAAGTTGTACTGGGAAATGAATGGAAATTTGAGAGCTGACAAGAAAAAATGCTTGGCAGAGTTTTTAAAGGTAAAAAAAATTGCTATTTAATAATTTTGTAACATGGTTCCCTCACTGTCCTACACTGTATCTAACCTGGTAATTCCTAATAACCCTTTAACTTCCAAGGATCAGATTGTTAATTCTCCCCTCTGGCTGCTACACATTTCAGTTACGAGAATCTGGTGTTAGATCAAGATGACAACTTCCACGTGATAAGTCTGAGTAATCTCATTACCTTTTTCCTGGATAATGTATGGATATTATGGGGAGAAGTTATGTGTTAATCACTTCTGGGGGTTGAAGGGTTAAGTAACTCTGGTAGACATCTCTATGATCCATCAAATTTTTTTGGTCGCAGGGGTTTGGTCTAAATGTAAGGATATCATCCGAGTGATATTCCCCAAGTTTCAACCTTAAGTCCACTACGATAACTTTCTTTCAAAATTTGATTCAAGATGAGAGAGGGTTTTTGGTTGTTACATAAAAAGGGAAATTCTTGTTTGTGCATAAAGTCTACCAAAGCACAGTTAAAAGAAAACATCTCACGCAGCAAATAGTAAGCTGTTCGTAAACATTTTATCACGCCTGTAAAAATCTCTGAAGGATAATAAACACAATCTCCTTAATTTTGCGCGAAAATGTACTTAAGATTGTCATTTGTGCTTGTCCTTCTTTCATAAAAAAACAGTTTTGCACCTTCAATTTCCTGTTAAAAATTAAAACATGAAAATTTCTGGCATAATTTTTTTCAGGCAGCTAAGTTGGATTCATATTACTCTCCGACATTTCTCTACTTGGGACATTACTACCGTGGAGTATTGAAAGATTTAAGGTACTGTAGTCGACACAGATTTATCATTCACACATGTTATTAGAAGTAATAACATGATTTCGAGTGCCATGTCAAAAACTTCGAAATTGCACGAGCCCATTGTGCGAGTGCAATTTGTAGTCTTTGAAATATTTACAAGTGCTTATTTACACCAAATTGCACCAGGAATCATGGCGTTACTTGTTAATAATTCACATGAAAAACGGGTTCACAGTCAAGTCGCCCGAGATTCACCTCGCCCGAAACCCGAAAGTCAAGTCGCCCGAAGAAACAAATACTAAAAAGATCTGAATTTCAGACTGTAAATAGGCAATAACGTTGAGAAATTTTTTATCACCAAAGCGCTCTTTGTTTCCGACAACACCATGAAGATTCTTAAAGCGTTGTTCGTTGTTCTTAAAGGGGTTGTTTAACCTGAAACTCCAATCTAAAATCCAAGGGATACATATCAGTTGTATAGTTTCTGTGCGGCTTACGGGTGAACTCTCGCCTTACTATGCTTTTAAGCAGCCGCTTATGGAAAAAGGTATTGACGAGTGAAATTGTTAGGGGATAATCTTCTTGACTAGTTCTGAAAGAATATTCAACTTTTTTCCGTTTTGTTTACATTATAAGTTGAGTGATACGCATGTTTTGATTGGTTCTTATGATTTATTGGAGGACAGAAGTACAGTTGACGTCATTATTCACAGCATTTGCTTATTTATTCATTTTAAAATCAAATTGATTTCATCTTACCGTGGGTCTGTACTTTAAAAGATCACAGAAGACATCACAATGTGCTAAGAACATTAGTGCGTCTTGTGGGCCTTTTTTGTCCAAACCACTTTTTGACGTTATCTTTGATCATCACTGAACAGACCCACGGAAACCTTGTTTCTATTTGTTTTAAAATTTGATGAATATTTGTGTAGTGGTGTGTTGACAACAGTGGAGTCACATGACTGGATTTGAGCTATATTGTATGATTTGCAAAAGGATGAATTGTCGTTGATATCAGAATGATTCATTATTAATTCTTATATCACTGTTTAGCAAAGCCAGCAGATGTTATCAGAAAGCGTTTGATCTGGATCCAAGTTCCGTTGTCGCTGGAATAGCTTTAGGAGATTCTCTTATGGAAGTGGGAAATGAGGTGAATGAAATGGTTCAATCTGCCAACAAGTTGTTTCTAAATACGTAGTTTAAATGCTCTGAAAGTCAGAGTCCCTGTGAGGAGTCGCACCCTGACTTTCGGATCTCGCGCCTCGATGTTTCACTTCTGAGCCACAGAGAATACAGTAAGATAGGCCGTTACTAAGTTCATATGGGAAACGTGTCTTTTAGACAGCATCTGAATCTGTGCTCGGAACCCGAGGAACTGAAGTCAATTATTCGTTGGAACTCTAAATTTTTTTCTTTTTTTTTCCCGCGCTCGTGACGAAATAAATTCATCTTTTTTTCTTTCACTACGAAGCCCAGAAAAGTTACCATGCTGGTTGATTTTTCCATCTTATGCTCATGAACAGCAAATTATATAGCACTGAATTGTCTTAGAATGAATCTTGAATCATCTTGAATGTTGAGAGTAATCTGGGGATTTTTCTGGTTTTGCTTTACCCGGTTGTGTGATTAGTCTAGAAAACTCGGACCACTTCCTGAACCAATCAGAATCAAAACTAAAACGAATCGCGACTTGCTCACTCGCATTTTCCCGCGCTTCAAGCAGTTTGCTTGTTTTTACCCACTTTGATTTCTCATTGGTTCCGCCTGATATTTTCCTTACTGTGATTGGTTGTTGTGCTTACTATAGTTTTGGTTTACGACACGCAGTCGAGAAGCGCTCTATTCGTTCAGTTTATTTCTTTACTGAATTTTGCGACTGTGTGGTTATCTTAGGTTGCTGCACTCAACTTGTACAAGAATGTTACGTCTGCATCATCGCCCGGAGAGTACGTATTCATATCTAATTTTAGTAATTCCATCTCTTCCTCTGTTTGGTTACAAATATTTTATGTTGTCAAACCATAGTAAGTAGTGGTATTTGGTCAGGAAAATCATCAAACTTTTTTGTTACAGGTTTGGTGCGGTTATGTGAACCCAACTGCGCACAACTTTTAGTAGCATACTGTTCATATCAAAACTGCTCTAGCTGATGGTGCTCTTTCTTGTTCTCTCAAGGGGTAAATGGGCGTGGCTGCGGCTCGGATTATTTCACCTGAAACAGAACGAAAGTACAGCGGCCATATCATGGTGAGTTCAGTTATCGTTATCTTGATACGATCTTTAGAGATCTATTAGACAAATTCGCAAGGAAATTGTTTTGTTTATCGTAAGGGAAACGATCGTGAAACCGGCTCAAATTCGAATTGACGATGTAGATGGAAAAATTAAGGAAAAAAAAAACATAAATAGAGAGCAACAGTTCTTTACAACTGGGCAAATGAGAACATCCTTGTTTTACATTGCATCAACCAAACAATCTCTCAGTTAGTACGTGCGCTATGCACGTGTGTTATTATATCTCTCAGCTAGTACGTGTGCTATGATTGGTTAATTTAACGGGCCGTATTTCATTGTACGCCCCTGAACCAAGAGATATAATGAATATATTACTAACGTGGTTTTTTTCGGGGTCCGTACTGTAAATTACAGAACCTCGTTTTCCGTTCGATTTATAGCCCGCGCGTTTCACGTCTGGGTCATAAATCTGAGCGGAAAAATCTCGGCCGTGACTTACAGCACGGACTTAGAACTCGTTTATTGAGAGGTATATATTGACAATTGATTTATGAATTGAACTCTGCCCTCGAATGAGTGCTGCGTTAGAAACGCTGAATACGTATGAGAGCCGCAGCGGTATTTCCGAAATGACAGTCCGAAGTTGCTCCTATTCATAGACGTTGGAATGACTGATTTACCAACAACCCACGAAAGAGGAAAGCAAATTGGGGTGTTTTTTCATGACCTGTTTGTTTATTTTATATCCCTCAATCAATGTGTTCTCTATCGGGAAAAATGTTAATTTTCTTTTCCCTGAGTAGAAGTGTTTCCCTCGACTTGGTCTTGGGACACATTGAGACTGTCCGAAGAACAGCCACTCGCACCTGCCTCTTAGTGTGTGTTTGTTTTATTATTAGATTAAGATGATCATTAGAGCATTTTTCAGTTGATTGTCGAAAGTTATCCGGGGTCGCTTTGGTTTCGTCTTCTTCGCTATCTGATTGGTCCAGAAAAAACTCCCGCCACTTTCTCAGTCAATCAGATTAAAAACTGCAACCAATCGTGACTTGGTCACGAGTTTGCATTTTCCTGCGCTTCAGGCAGTTTGCTTGGGTTTACTATGAGTTCTCATCGGCTGCTTGAGTTACCTCCCTCTCATCTGATTGGCTCTCGTGATTACTATGGTTTTAATTTACAACACTTGATTGAAATGCGCACTAAGGTTTTCTGGTTGTTTTTTTGTTGTTCTTTTATCTTAAAGAAATCATTATTATTTGAGTTCTAAATATGAATTGTTTCTCGCATAAGTTTTCAGAGTGCCCTAAGAGCTGATCTCAAAGACAGGTAGGTGACAAGTACAATGTTGCATTCTGATTTTCATTTAGTTCCTTCTACATTTATTTTTCTTTAACCATTTAAGCCCCAAGAGTGACTAACATCTTACTTCACCTTACAATATCCCCCCTGAATGAAACATTCAAGTCACGAGATTGAAGAAAATGATCATCGACTAAAGACGCTCTTGATTGTCAAACAAATTCTCCTTTTCGGCCCCTTACGAATTGTATAGGGAACAGTGTGGAAAATATGCTTCCTGATGTTGTTTTCCTTTCTCTTTTAGGCATTGCTGGGAATGTCTTGGTGAAGCGTATATGAGTCGTGGAAGCTACATCGCGGCTATGAAGGCTTTTACAAAAGCTTCTGAGGTTTGAACTTTCCGCTCTCTATTCGTAACGCTGTAGTTACGTAAAAATAAGCTCGAGTATCTCTGTTGTATAGCCCTTTATAGAAACGCTGTTTCTTCCTACTCTATTAGATAAATGCAGAACTCAATCAGTCAGTGAACAACCAGCTAGTAAGTCGGTCAGTCTGTCCGTCTATCTGTCTGTCTGTCTGTCAGTCAGTTAGTCTATTAGTCAGTCAGTCTGTCTATCGGTCTGTCAGTTTCTCTGTCTGTCAGTCGGTCTTCAATTAGTCAGTCAGTCCATCAGACGGTCGATCATTTTATTTGTACTTTTTATGGTTCAAAATAATCATGATATTTTTGAATATTCACAGCTTGACCCATCTTCGCTCTACTGCCTTTACCAGTAAGTGTACACTCTGTGTGTTTTTCATTCGCTGTCCCTTAAAATGAGAGCTGTTAATGTAATTTCGCATTTTTTTTGTTTCAATACAATTTGTGGACAGGAACTCAGTTGGAAAGGTTGAGGTCATTTGCGATAATTTTCAACTGATAATGTGCGATGAGAATGAAGTTATTCGTGAAACATGCTTCATCGCGCGTTATTTTGTAAACGATGAAATTGGATCCAGACACTAAAGATATCTGGGAATGACGACCCTTGCGCTCGGTTAGTAAGAGGTTACTTTTGTCGGCGCTCTAATCGGTTTTATGAAAATTTCTTTTAGGTTGGCGGCCATTAAACAGTTATTGTGTGTACACAGTGAAGCAATCAAGGAATATAAACTGATTCTGGAAATGCAACATGATTATGTTCCTGCAATGAAAGGCAAAGTCTCAATTTGATTTAACTGTGTTAATTTGAAAACTTCAAATTCAGTGAAACCCGAATGAAACTGACACCCAGGGAGACCCCCGGTAGTTTTCACCGCTTTATTCAGCCAGGGTGTCTTTTTAAAACAGGTTTCATGGGCTACGCATTATAAGTTGATTATATACTCCCGAGTCGAAAAGAGCTAGTAATCAAATGCTTTTCAAACTAATCGTTTAAGAAGATAGATGGATACAAGCAAATGCCAGAACAAGCGTTTTAGAAGCAAACACAATGATCTTCACCTGTTCGTGCTCTCAGTAAAAGGAAACTCCAACTGTTCGCTCACTACAGTCTTCCTGTCTCAAGAGCGCTCAGTTTTGGTCTCTGCATCCACTTCTTAAAGGTGTCCGCTGAAAACAAGTTCTTTAACTTTTCAAAGCTAATTCCGGAGGGAAAACTCTGCAATTCAGCCCATGTTCGCTCAATACAGATTTAACTGTAATAACACTCTCGATGAAGAGTCGAAGAGTATCTGTTTTCTATGAAATAGAGTTCAGATCTTTTTCTTTTACGTGATCCTCACAGAGCTTTGTTCTGGTTGTTTTAATTTGTAGGACTCGGTGAGACATATCTCAACCAAGCCCGATCCGCGCTGCAGCAGGATTTTAATGGGAAGGCTGTGGATTGTGTGATGGCAGCCATTCACGTTTTGGCTCGGTAAGTGAACATTATTTTCTTAATATTTGATCACTTAATCTTGCATCAGAACACCAACAGTAATTCTTAAACCGTGCCTACACTGCATGGTCATGTACTTATTTACTTATGCGTAGCTTCGTAAAAAAAAAAAAAAACCCGAGCAACTTTGTCATACCCGATCGTGAGTAATATACGAACAAACATCAAACGACAACCAGCGACAAAATTGTTGATAGATTACTGACGAGATCTTAATGTTTTATAATCGTATACCAGTTTTATCCCTATTACTCTTACTTTAACCCACGCTCATCTTCATTATTGTACTCTTTTTACTGTTATTGACCTCATTATTTGGGACAGAGAGGTGCTGCGTTTTTAGCTCATTGAAGACAATTTTGGAAGGGGCAGGATGTTTTTTTAATCTTAAATCGCGATCTGTTGCGTAATTTCACTTTTCCTTTTATTGGTGGAGATGTGATTTCTCGAGCATACGTCTCCTTATACACCCTAACATCAGTATCCATATTCTCCTCCATACGTTTCTTTTAGTACTGATAAGGAGAATTTGTCTAGCAATCAAAGCCTCTAAGGTTGGCGATCCTTTCCTTTAATTTCATAACCTAAATGAATGATTTAGCGGTATTACTGTGAAGAAAAATTAGATGCTGATCACTTTTAAGGGTTAAAGGGTTAACACAAACGTCTGTAGACCTATCTACTTGGCAGAAATATCGCATCTTAGTTTTATGTTTTATTTTGTAGAGCAGTGCAGTGCAAACCTGGTCTGTCATGCCTGTGGAAACTTATCGGCGACTGCTGTACCATTATTCATCCTGTGTCCAACATCTCCATTAGGTAGGACAGCAGTAAAATGCAAACTACAGATAAGGCAAGAGTAATCTGGAATTGCTTTGGTTTTTCTTTTCCTCGATCAGTGATTGGTCCAGAAAACTTGTCCCTATCCAATCAAATGGAAAACTAAAACTAATCTTGGTCACCTGCGTTTTCCCGCGCTTTAAGGAGTTTGCTTGTTTTTACTCTGAATTCTCATTTGATCCTTTTGATTTCTTTCTTTGTTCTTATTGGCTGTTCTGATAATTCCATGTTGGGAAATCAGGTTTCAGGAGTACGTGCAATTTCCATCGACTATCATATCTCGACCCACTTTGTGTGAATGGCGAGCACCCACGTTGTACATCAAACTCTTGCTTAATAGAGCGCTTTTCGATCGAGTGTTGTGAAACCAAAACCAAAGGAATAACAACGGCCTTTCAGAGGAAAGGAAAATACCTTTAAGAGCCAATGGGAACTCAGAGTAAAAACAATCAAACAGCCTAAAGCGCGGGAAAACGCGGGCGACCAAGTCGTGATTGGTTTTTAATTTTTCATCAGCTACGGTTGAGAGACTGGCGCTAGTTTTCTGGACCAATCACAGCGCGAATTAAAGCAAAAACGAAGCCAAAGTCACAAGTCAAAATCCCTTCCGCTCACTGCGATCGACAATGTTCATAGTTTTGTAAGAGTAGAATATATGGGACATCTGTGGTCGCTGTGTAAATGTGTCTGTGGTGTTTACATTGCAGAGGAACAATTCCAGATAATTTGAAGAAGCACATTCACGGAGAGCACAATGATCTGGATAAGACACAGTTACTTGCTTTGGGATCAGGGTAAGAACTGATTACATGACAATCAACGTTTTCCGGAGACACTCAAAGCCAATAAATCAAACGGAATTCAATTTAGACCACGGTTTTCGTCAATCGATGAACCTTGGGAATCCTCTATAGGTGGGCTGTTTGATATAAATAACTATTTTTCAAGCCTTCGTGTCATTATTCACCCTGACTAAGAGATTATAAACTATAATCTTTTGCCCAAACCCAATACGTACATAAAGCTTTTGTCTAATTTGAACGCGTTCTCTCGATGTTTTCACAGTCTTGATAATAATTTTTCAACGTATCATGAATGTTGTATTTTTTTTCTTTCCTGTACGTAGTGCTTATGGAAGAGCATTGAAACTGCAGCCTGACTGTGGAAGCTTGTGGGGTGACTTGGGATTCAACTGCTTTCAGCAAGCCAAGGCGGGTCTAATGGAATGTAACCTGTGATCAGGTGTTCCTTTTTTCGGGGTACGCGATATTCGGCCATGTCACACTATCGCGCTTCCCGTAAAAAAGAACGCCTGACCGCACGTCAAATAGAGTGGTGTTCAGCAGTGTCCCTTGGATAAACGTAATGCTGGCCAATTGCGAGGAGCCATACTGAGCGAGCGCTACATTACAAATCAAAGCTATTTTGGTTTGCCTTGTTATTGATCGAGGTAGTAGCATAACGTCCAACCATTTTAAGAAGCCTGAAACACTTGTACGACACTCGATTGAGAGGCTGTTTTTAAACCAATATCTATAAAGAGAAGCCTTTTATTCAAATAAATGGGAAACCCTTCGACTCCTTTTTCTTCTTCTTCTTATTTTCTATTCCCGTTTCCTAACAGATTTTGAAGGGAAATGTGAAAGAGAAGATGGCGCATAGGTCTCTGCAGGTGAGCAATTTTAAAAATGCTCCTGTAAGAAGTTATAATTTAAAAAATTTCAAGTGAAGGGAACGTTGTATGGAAAATGACTCGACCTGAGGGGAACGAAAATTATTTTTACATAGCGGGTGGTTCGAGTGATCGATTGTACAGTAAATGTATGGCGGAAGTCAAGGGGTACTATCGATTTTGGTTCAAGTTGGCGCAAAGTTGGAGTTTTACTGAACGATAATTAAGATTAAATGCATGTAAACAACTTCGTGTGCGGGAAAAAGCGTGGGACCAAGTCGCACTTGGTTCTAGTTTGCACCTGTTTGGTTGAGAGCTTGTGTAATTGATACAGAATAATTTTCCTTCTATGTCACCCAAGTGTTTCTATTTGACTCTTCCAGGCTTTGAAGAAAGGGTTAACCCTACAGCCGTCTAACCACAAACTTTGGAATAGTTTAGGAGTAGTGGCGGCATCTAGAGGTAATGATTGCAGAGTGTGACTGGAGAAGATAAAGCTTAGAGACGAAATACTTCATGCAAGCCATAGTCGAAATGAAATCCTTATTAGTATAAATTAAAATGAATTTATCTATCAGAGCCCAGTTGCATAAGGGGCGGATAACGTCATTTAACGGTAAATCACTATCCATAGGATAGGTGATAGCAAAACGTAATGCGCTATCCAACGGATAGAGATTTATCCACTAGATAGGGTTATCCAACCTGCGAACAACTGGGCCCAGAAAAAACTGTATTGACATGTACCTCAGGTGTGACTGAAGTGTTTTGGTGGAAAACGACTTAGACATTAGGGGTTCGCGGACTTGCAAAATACCTAAAACACGCTAAACATTGTTATCCTTACAGAAGTCAACAATCCAGACCTCAGCCAGCATTCATTCATCATGTCGATCAAGACTGAACCAAATGTAAGTGTTTGCTTCGGTAAACGGAACCAGTTAATCCTACAAAACTCGACAAAAACTGCCTAAAGATTGAACAAGAAGTGATCATGTCCAATTGGAACTTACACTTTGTACTTGACAACGCCTCCACATTTGTCCCCTGTAACACAATAACCATTAGTAAAGAGCCTTGTTATGTAGACTCGTACTGCAATTATAAAGTCTTGGAATGTTCTAAGCAACTATTATAATAATGATAGCCACATGCCTAAGAATTCAGTTCGTTTCGTCCTTTTTTCGACCAGTTCAATAGACCCTGTAGTTGTTAGAAAAGTATTCAAACAATTTTATGTTTTGCTTGTAGAATGTTATAGCTTGGACAAACTTAGGAGTGCTGTATCTAAAGCATGGTAAAATCGAGGTAAATCGTGATTTACATTTCTCCCTACAATATAACCCTTGAATCAAACATGAAGGTCATGAGAATAAAGGAAATGATCATCAACTGAAGAAGCTCTTGATTGAGAAACAAATTCTCCTGATCAGCATCTAAGGAACTGTCTAGAGAACAGTATGGAGAATATGCATACTGATGTTAGGACGTAGAGGGTTAAATATCACACTCACCTTAGAAATCGTAATGTAATCTGTTACGCGCTCACACATCGTAGAGGGCGTCGTGAATGTCAGGTTGAACCAAATGCTGATAAACTAAGAATGGTTGTTTTTACATACACTTGGCATTTGCCACTAGCTATTAAGGAAGCCACTGATGGAAGGAAAATTTTTTTCTTGGGTTGGCAAAGCACATACTGCAGTTAGAAATGTTTGCAAGATTGATGCTTTAAACATTGTGATTGTTTAACAATAAATATTTTTATTTTCGCGTTGTTCTTTACAGCTTGCTCATGAGGCATTCAAGAATTCTCAGGCTTTAGATCCATCGTATACCGCTGCGTGGATTGGTCAGGTAAATATAGGTATTAGATATCATTGATAATTATTATCGTCGTAATCATCATCATTATCACACTTTTAATCATGATTAACCTGTTGGTGTCAGCTGTTATCAAAGCGTACATTGGGTAAGCGAAAATAGCCATAAAATTCAGGCAAAAGTGTTGCTTCTCACACCTTATGCGCTGAATGCGGACATAAAGTTACTTTCGAAGTACGCCACCAGGGGTGTGCAGATTGAAACTAGACTACGCTGATTTGTTTAGTGAGTTATTTAACATTAGTAGCACATGAGAGGTTGCAAAGGAGTGCCAGGAAAGGATGTTTGTAGATTATAAAAGACCTCGAGAATGATGTTTTTTTCGTCTTGTCACGAGCGTGAGACATAGAAAAAAATTCAGAGTCCCCATGAGGAATCGAACCTCAGACCTTCGGATTCCGCGTTCCGGTGCTCTACCACTGAGTCACAGGGACTCCACGGTGAGCGAGGTCTGTTACAAAGTTCATATGACACGCGTCCTGCATACTGCTAGGATCAGTAATGTCGATAGCGTAATGTTTGTATAAAAGACCTATTTTTAACATGAAGGGTTTCAATAACGGCTGGTTATCAGCGTTCCACCGCGGCCTTAAAAACCTCTTATCGCCGTCGGTTTAGCCTGTCAGCAAGCTCTTGTATAATTGGGTTCTGCCTTATGGTATAGTTCACATTTAGGGAGTATTATTTTCATTCTTCAGTGTAGGGGAAGCTTCTGTTTGTTTCAGTGATGTTTGCATTGTTAAGGTAACGTTATATGTTGCAATTATTTTCCTCAATTTGAAGGCAACCATTGCTGAGATTATTGGAAATGAGGAAGCTATGGACTTGTTTCGACACACAACGGAATTGGGCTCACACGTAAGGAACACCTTACTTTATTAAAAAAAAATCACTTCAGGTCGTCACCAAAATCGAATTTAGGCTTATTACCTCCATGAAGTTTAACCAGAATGGTTTCAAAATGGATGATTTCCAAACATCAAAATGTTTTTTGTCAACGTTGTGCATCTTAAAAAACTTAGTTGCAAGTTTCTCCATCCCTAGCAATCTTGTGATCATTTGTTGCCTTTTATTCTTCAGTAGCTTTTTTTTTCTCTCATCGAAATTTTTTAAAAGTATGAAATTCTCCGTGAAGAACCTCTGAACGGCTGACGTAACTTCCACACAGTCACAGTGTTGTTTCTAAAAATATATCAACTTGAGTTTTTATTTCCTTTTAGGCTTTTATGGAGGTTGTTTTCCAATGTGTACTCCGTGCTAAATCTGTCAAAAAATTCCCTTTCTGTTTATTCTCCTTTATCGCAAAGGTGCGCAAACCTTTGAAACGTTTTTGTTTGGTAAATGACATTTTCTCTTTTCAGGTCGAAGGTAGCATTGGCTACTCTCATTGGGTCTGTTCCAGTCTCATATCAGAGAAATCGCGTGATAGTCACGTGATACTCAAAGGAAAACCAGCTGCCACTCTATCGCATCTTCATCCGGAATACAGAAAGGCTGTGCTTCAATCAGCCACTGCCCTCAGTAAATACACTGGTATTGCAATTTTTTTATGTGTAGAATTTATTGAATTCAAAAGTTTTATTTTCTTCTTGCCACGATTGTGGTGCAAAGGAAAAAATTCGGGTGTTTGAGAAAACGTTAGGAGAAAACTGCTTTCTTATAATATCTCTCAGTTAGTAAGTGCGCTCTGGTTGGTCTATTTAGCGTCTCGTATTTCCATGTCTAACCCGCCAAATTCAAAAGTTTATCTGAATCGAAATCTTTCCCTCTCTATTTGAACCCAGAAATATAATGAATATCTTACTGACTTCGTTTTCTCGCACCGTACTGCAAGTTATGGAACCTTTTCCCCCTCTCGGTTTATTGTCCGCCAGCATAGCGCGGAACAATAAACTAATAAATTTTTACCGAACGGAAAAATAATCGGTCCATAACTTACAGTACGGACCCCTTACTCGGTTAGTAAGAGGTATGTGTTCATGTTACTTTCCTAGATCGCGTAAGGGACAATGCTGGTGCCTACAATATGTACGGACTGCTGCTAGAACACCAGAAACTCTTCTTACAAGCGGAGAAAGCTTTTAAAAGGTATCCCCATGTTTCTAGTTCTGAAATTATCTTACGAGTAGCTTGGTTACATTTTTAGACAAGTTTATTCGCCCTTACATTTACTGTAATTTGTGGGTGAGGCACAATTTGGGTCAAAATGTGAGTTTGCTCTTTTTACTTATTTCACTGGAGACGGGTTAAAATTGCAGAATGCTGATGAGCTGAAGCGGGGGTATTTTTTTCATGGCGAATCGATCGCAAATCTGATTGGCTAAACTAGTGCTATCACCAATTGTTGGTTGTCAGTTAATTTGTTGTTGTTGTGTTGTTGATATTCTCAGTGCAATCGATCTTCTTCGAGAACGTGCAACGGATGATGATCAGCAACATTTAAATACTGTACTTATTAACTATGCTAGAGTGCTCTGGTAAGTTGTTTCTTTTTTTCTTTGTGAAGGAGGGGGGGTAAGGGTTAGGTTGTTGTTGAAGTTATCCTGCAATGGTTGGCACCACATCCGGGTAAGATCAACAATACTCCTACTGGCTCCGTGGAAACCTATTCTTTTGTTTTTGTTTTCCTTTTCAGTGCAATGGGACGATACAAGGAAGCTGTCGAGACTTACCAAGCAGTGAAGCCACTGACCGCATTTCATGACTTGTGCGGGCTCGCGCTATCATTATTCATGGCCGGCCAGTTAAGAGAAAGTTATCAGGGTAATCAACTAAGCCTGAAATACTCACAGACTTGTTCGTAATCATGAGATCAATTTTTGTGAAAACCTTGGAGGATAGTATCCTAATGTAATACTCAAATACATTCAACGTATTTGTATGGAAAGTAACATGATTTCTCATGCAAATTGGTGTAAATAGACACGAGTACATTTGTCAAAGACGTAAAAATTGCACGAGCCCGTAGGGCGAAATGCAACTCGCAGTCTTTGAAAAAGATTACAAGTGCCTATTACACCGAATTACAAGAGAAATCATGGTATTACTTGTTAATAATGTACATGAAAAAACATCGTAGAAAGTCACGACAAACGCAATTTGGAAAGCGTGCGCTCGCTATTTGTAATTTTCACTCGTGTTACAACTTTGCATTCGTATTACATAATGCACTCGTTTTCAGGCAATCAGAAGCGCGTAATTTTTTCTTGCACGTTATTAACGGAAAAATGTCTAGCAGCTAAATCAGAAAATTACCAAGCAAATCTTGGTCGTTAAAAGGTCAAACTTTTTCTTTTTTACCAAAAGAAGAACATTACTTTTTTCAATGTCAGCTTATGAGCAAGCTTTCCAGTTGGCTGCCACAGATGCCGACAGATCTTGCATTCTAACCGCCATGGGCATGCTGGGATACGCGCTTGATGACAAAGATGGAGCAAAAGCAATGCTTTTTAAAAGGTGAAAAAGAAGATTGGAAGAAGGAAAAGTTTTTGCTGTAAAGGAGATTCAATAACGTTGTATTTACCAAATATGATTTTAAGAGAAATTTTTGGAAAAAAAACACTCATGTTCGTCGTTTTCTCTTGCAGTTCTCAGTTGCAACCAGCTTGTGATCGCGGGCTCATGGCACTGTGTGCCTTTGGTTTGGTCAGCGGTGATGCTACATTGGCTGGAGCAGCCCTCGGTGAACTTATGAACCGAGAGAACGGTAAGTCAGGTTATGCAGAGAATAAATGGGGGGAGAGGGGAGGGGAGGGGAGAGAAAAGACATTTTAGGAACACCTCAGCGGTAGAGCAGCAGTAACCTACTTATGCCAGGATCCAACGTCGAAAAGGTTTTCTTGAAAAAATTCAGTCCAATTAACATTAACCCTTTAACCCCTAAGAGTGACTAGCATCTAATTTCTCCTTACAATGTGATCCCTGAATCACACATTAAGGCCACGAGAATAAAGGAAATGATCACCTACTAAAGAAGATCTTGATTGTTAAACAAATTCTCCTTGCCAGTACCATAGGAAATGTCTAGAAAAAAATATGGGGAATATGCGTTTTTTCCAGTAAGAGATCACAGATGACATTAAACTGTGGTATGAAAAAAAAGGCGGCACACGAGGTGAAGCTTACTCAGTAAATAATGTTCTTACTTCGTTTTGATTTCTTCTGTGATTTGTTACTGTACTGACCCACGGAATCATGGAATCTTTTTGTTTTATGTGAGAAAAATGGCAAGATGTTGTTGATGGTGATGTCATGGATGCGCCGTCCTCTGAGAGATCTTAAGTTAGAAGCAATCAAAATGCGTGTATGATTCAGGCTATCATCTTAACACAAACCTTTAGTTTATTATGTGTTAATTTCTTGTTTGTTAGGTACTGATGAATTGACAGGCGATATCTGCTATCTTTACTCACGGTTTTACGCGTTGCAGGTATGTCACAAGTTTCTCTTTACGTTTGTTTTATTTGTGTTTCGAGTGCAATGTAACTGTTGTTGTTATCACGTTGTAGGGAAACCAAAAACTTGGACGGAGTCACATCATGAAAGAGATCCATCGGTAAGATGCCATAGTTCTTTTCTTTCCTTTGTTCCTGTCCTATAAGGGCCTTTTTACACGAGCTTGGGTTGATTTTTAGCCCAGGCTGAATCACCTCTGTTTACTGTTTCACAGCAATCCAAGAAGCAGCTTATTGTGGAGTCAGTTGGCATCGTATCTACTGCAAGCCTGTCCCGACGAGTTGCAGGTAAAAAGAGGCTGATTTAATGATGTGATGGTATATACCAGACTATACATCAGTAACATGCAGATGTACTGTGACAAGTATTCCCTGTCTGGATTTATCTGGCTATCTAACTATCGTTCAAGTTATGTGTAGAGTCGTTGAAAATTGCGAGTGGAGGCAACTGCGTGGCGAGCGCAAGGGCGAGACAAACTCATGGCTGGTACAAACGCAAACAGCACAATGCACTTGTAAGACCGTACACTAATTGATCGGTTGTTGTGAAGAAAAGCTCCCTGAAAAAACCTGTCAGCCCACTAACGGTCAACTGGTCGTTAGCCTACCGGTGGGGGCCTGTCGGTTATCTGTCGGCCGACATTCGGTAGAGGGGAGCTATTTAACGACTGCCGATTAATCAAACAGAACGGACTTCAGCGCGGGAAAGTGAGCTTTTAAACCAAATCGCAGCTAGCTGACGATATCCTCTATTATTGTCGGGTCATGGCTTGGCAAAGGGTGGGGTAATGGTTATTTTTTATGAAGATTAAAATCGTGTTTGCTATTCGAAATCTGTTATTTTTGTAGGCTGCTGCTCGCTGCTCTGAATCTTCTGCTACACTTGGAGGAAGTCATTCAGCAGAGGTGTGTTCGAAAATTTTCTATGTACGGTAGTTATTTTGTAAGAATGACGTATTACTAGTTTAGAACGAAAGCTATTCCAATGAAAATGTTCAAAATATACTCTGCATTAAGAGGATGGAGAACGAAACACCAACACCAACCAGAATAGGTACTTAGAGAGATTGTTCTTTTTCTCTATTAACAGCACAATCCCGCTTTCCAGCCGGCCGGTATCGTGGGTTCGGGTTCCTTACGTCACGACAACGGCAAAGTCAATCTTATGGGTGCTACACACAGGACTCGCGTAGGTCTTAGAGCATCCCAGAAGGCTGTTCACGCGCATCCTGATCATTCGTCTAGCTGGGCAGTGCTAGCAGCTTCTGTTACAGCTCACGATATAGCTAAGAGTCGTGAGGAACTGGGGAGGGACAAAAGCACTCTCGGCGCAAGGCTCTCTCAGTTTGTGGAATCAACAGGTATTGGATGTACGAGGGAATCCCGATTAAAACTTCGTTTTGAAAAGAGTAATTATCGTTGGGTACGAAAAATCGGAGTTTCAATTTGGGGCCGGAAGTCCAGCGATTGCTTATTAATATTGTATCCACTTCCTCAACGTTGATTATGTCAAGAGGGCTTATATCTAACACTGGAAAACATTAATTTACTTTAAACAATGATATCGAGGTCGGTTGATTATCTAAAACCACGACCTGGACTGGCTGGTAGATTTATACTTAAATAATTAGATTACTCACTCTGGATTTCAGTGCTCAGAAATCTTGAGCTCATAATCTAATGGTTGCCGAGTGGAAAATGTCTAAGCTACCTTGCGCAAGGGGGGTTTTTGCTGCCTTGTTTCACCCTTATATTGTTTTATGGTACAGCTCACGGGCAGGTAGGTGCTCTGAAGTCCCTATCTGATCATCAGCTGCCTGCCCTTGTTAAGTTACGGACTAGTCATCTGGAGACCCTGCAGTCCTGGGCCATTATTCACCATGGTTACTGTCTCCTGCATGCTGGACGGCAACAAGAGGCGGCTGAACTTGTTGACAAGGTAGGTGAGACTTGGTGAATCCCTCCTGTTTATTCTACTTCACACTTCTGTTATTGGAGAAAATTTAGATTGAGTGTCGAAAGTAAGACGAAAACGCTTTGTTTTTGCATTACTTTACAATACAATACAATGTAAGTTTATTGTGTCATAGACTAAGCTATTCAGGTGTGACATTACATAATGAAATGACACATCAGCTAATTTGCAGATATTCCACATGAATGAAAATTACTTTAACTTTGCTATGTTATTGGTCCCAAAATCTCGCACCATCCTCTCTTTCAGGACCTTTCAAACTATGTTATTTTTATTTCAAGTGAGATTTGAGTAATCTTATACCCCATTCACACCAGCAAAACATGTTTTGTTAAACTGGTTTTCATTGAATGAAAATTATAAACAGAGAACTGAAACACTTGATTTTCCATTGGATTCAAGTACTTGCTAACTTGCATTTCCAATGTGCTACATTCAAGTCAAAAATATTCGGTTAAATAGTTTCTATTTAAACTGTGTTTAACAAAACAACTTTTAAACATGTTTAAGCTTTGGTGTGAATGGGGCATTAGTCTTGTTACGCAAATGGTAAATAGAAGTCTTAGTTGCACATACTTTACTTGATATGACGAATTTCATCTTACAGTAATACAGCCTACGTTTTTTTTTTATTATTTTTAACAATCGGTAGATCTAATCCTTGCTTTTTATCTTGCAGGCGTTATTGGTGTACAGTTCGGTACCACAAATCTCCGCTCAACTCCACTTCTTAAAGGCTCAAGTGCTACTGGCCAGCGGAGAAACTGTGGATACTGGGCTAAACATGTTACAAACATCCCTATTGTCCAGTCCAACGCATTCATCAAATGCCTGGCAGGTAACGTTGCAACTGAAGTCTCATTTTCCGTTCCATAAGTTGGGAGTGATTTTCATTTGAGTCTCGGGAGAAGTATAAGATTGTTTATCACGTGACCCGTCAAGAACCGCCTACACAATCCTTTAGAAAACCACTATGAAAGCCGAGGTGTTGACGTTAGCCGGTCCAGAAAAAGACGTTCAGTTCCGCGCTCGTATAGCTTTGTTGCAAGAAAAGAAAACATTTTAAAAAGTTCAACTTAAAGGAAAACATAAAGGAGAAAGTTAGTCTCGTTTCTCGAGCAGTGACGCACGGTCCGTACGTAATGACCTCTTACCAAATAGTTTCCCGTCCGGCCCGACCAAAGTCAGTCAATTGGTACAATTTTTCATGCTACATCTCGCTCTGTGATTAGTCCAGAAAACTCATACCACCCACTCGACCAATCAGATCAAAGACTTAAATCAATCGCGACATGGTTACCCGCTTTTTCCCGCGCTTCAAGCAGCTTGCTGATTTTTTACCTTGATATCCCACTTAGGGACTTGTCAGAAATTAGCCCGCGCTTCAAGCAGCTTGCTGATTTTTTACCTTGATATCCCACTTAAGCATTGCGATATTTTCCTCAGTCCTCCTTTACACCCCTCTGAAACCGTTATTTGTCTTTTTAACAGGTTTTAGCGCAAGTCCAAGCTGATCAAGGCGCATCAATGGCGGCTGAGCTTTGCTATCGAAAGTGTCTGCAGGCGGGAATGGACAGCAGGTAAGAAAATTAGGAACACTTACTATGAGTAAGTTCATGGATCTGAAAACTAGGAAAGGTGCACTAGCTCAGATTCCTTTGCCACCGCCAAATATCTCTGCATCGTCAAATGCAGAACAAACCACGACACGGCTGTTGTGAGACTGTGTGCCACGAATTTGTTGCAAAATTGATCGGTCTAGAAGATCTCCCACTCCCGTATGAAACTTGCGCTTTGGTGCACGCAGCACCGCTGACAACCTCTATGAGCGCCTCGGTCGAGCAAAGAGTTAAAAAGTTCATTTTCCATATCAGTGATCTGTGGAGTTTGTAATGTGCAGTTGATTACAAACTTTTAACTTTTTTAAGGGCTCAAAGCTGGCGAACTGTTCCTTTGATAAGACTGGCGTTGTTAGCCGTCCAAATGGTACAGGTATGTACATGGTATGCCTACCACTGCCGACTAATGTGGTAACTGTGATACTCGAATTTTTCAAGAGTCGTCTTTAGAACTCACAACCGGTTCAAGAAGATACACTGTGATTTTCTTAGTCATTTTAGTCAAAATCATCGTGAAATTTAAGGAATCCCTGAGTATTTTCAGAACCATTTCAACTTCTTAATTGCAGTATCAAACATAATCCAGGGAACGCGTTTTGGCAAAGCGTTGCTTTATGATGTATCACGTCATTTATGAATTTAAAAGGAAAACTGTAATAACTAAGTCGGGGGTTTATGATATAGATCGTAGGATGGGTTTAAGCCTTCTTTCATATCTTGTCACTGTATTTCTTCCCTTTTAGCGTCAGCATACTGCATCGCATCGTTGGTTTTGTGTTTGTTGGTGTGTTCGTCAACTTCCTGTTTTTTCTTCTAGAAGTCGCAGACCGCTGACCGAGACCGCTGGATGGATCTTTCACTTGAAGCTTCAAACGAGGTTTGTAACAATTTTGCCCATATGATGTTTCCTTAATGAACATTTGGAACAAAAGCGGTAAATATCAAAATAGTAAATTGAAACTCGAAGCGAAAACGAGCAAACGGCCTAACGTCGAGAAAAACCAGATTGGTTTTAGAGTTTCATCTTATTGGTTCAAAATGTAACGCGAGTTTTTTTCCAGACCAGTCACACAGCGTAACGAAGAAAAAACCAACTCGGTGCCATATCACTTTTGACATAGCTGGAAATCCTCTGAATGAAGAAAGGGCAACGAAAACTACGATTCAAATAAGAATAATTAAGGAAAGAAAAATTTAATTTCTTTTCAAAAGTAGAGATGCGGGACTCTTGGGCATGATTTTAAAGGATGAGGTTAATAGCTATGGGCTCTAAAGTACTTCAATGTATGGATGGTTTATTTCCAGGTCCTGAAATTGAATTCAAGTATTTCAGCTGCCTATCTTATTCAAGGGATCGTTCATTTTCTTCAAGACAACGCGAGGTAAGGAAACTTCTCTTTACCCTTTAATCCCTGAGAGTAACTAGCATCTAATTTCTCCTTTCAATATCACCCATGAATTTAACATTAAGGTCGTGAGAATAAAGGAAATGATCATAAACTGAAGAACTTCTTGATTGTTAAACAAATTCTCCTTTCCAGCACATTAGGAAATGTATAGAGAACAGTATGGAGAATATGCATACTGATGTTAGGGTGTAAAGGGTTCATTTAGCATGTTAAGGGTCAGGTACGTTTTGAAAAAAGCTGGTTGGAGAAGGGAGCAGAATTTGCCAGAATTCAACTCTTATTATGCCAAATAACCAAGGGGAAATAAATGTATTTGTTGCAAGAATTATTTTTTATGAAGTGATATCTGCACTGTAAATGTTGTGTAAGTAAGACAATGAAATAAGAGCCTCTAACTTCCGGCCATCTCTAACTACTTCCGGCCATCTCTAACTACTTCCGGCCATTTCTAACTACTTCCGGCGATAAGAGATCAAATTCTCAAAAGAGAGCTGTTAAAATTGCTTCTCAAATAGGATAGTTTATTTTTTTGATGAAACATTTACTTTTTGTGTCTGTTGTTGTTATCAAACCTTTTCTCATGGAAAAGTTTCTTTTTAATTTCTATTTTCTCAAATATTTTCCATGCTAATCGAGTATTGTCTTGTCTTCTCTTTGCAGGGCATCTAGAAGAGCTTTCCAACATGTGCTAGACTCTGACACAGCTTCTGGCTCTTCGATAGCTCAGTACTGGCTGCTCTCAATTTATTTGAAGAAGAAAGATCTTTCCGCTGCCCAGGTAGATAGCTCTGACACAATCTTTCCAATTCACTACGTCATAGGAAGGTCGTTACAGCGGCTGTGGACAAAAGTCCATGAGGGAGGCTACTGTGCTGAAGATTTTGCAAGATTGGCGATTTTTTTCGGCTCGAGATGACTAAAATTTCTGCTTGGGACTGTTTTAAAAAAATTTGTTACGAGGTCTTATCTCTCTTATAAATGGGCATAGTTAGAGGGTGTTTCCTTTTTCATATTAGGTCTTTAAAACTAATTTCTAGGCCATTGTTTCTTTTGTTGTTGTTGTGTATGGGTTGCGCGCTTTTCAACTTTTTTTTACTGCCTCCTCTCGCAGAATTTCATGTTCCACCCTTCCCCAACTTTGTTTATGGCTTGTTGTTCACGTAGCTGCGAAACACGCAAGAGAAAGAGACTAATTACAGCGTAAAACTGAAATATAGATCCTCGAATCTCTACCCCCACATACGACGCCATGATTTCACTACCCTTGTGCCTTGTGTTTAATGCGCTCCCGATTAGTACATGCTGAACTGGTTTCATCAACTGAGTCGATAATGAAAATTGGCCTCTGTAGAGAGTTTCTGAAGCTGACTTTTCGAGCGGTAGGCCTTCGTCAGAATGATAGGCTCAGGGAAGGGCCATGACGAATGACTAAAACTCGAAACTTTAAAAACTGTGTCGGGTGGCTAATTTACATGATGAACTTAGTAGATCAAACCAAATTATCCTGCTAAACTCCCCACCGACGCAGTACCAAAGTTTCTTTAGAACTTGATGGCAGGCTGATTTTACTTACCTTTTTCTTGATTTTACCACTCTTGTAGGGTCTCGTTTCTGAAGCCAAGTTCCATGGTAACAAGAGATTAGATTTGATTTATTACCGCCTTGCCGAGGAAGGAGACCTGCCTAAGGCAGCTAAAAAACGTCTGATTGAAAGATGTGTTCACGTGAATCCATCAAAACAAATATTTTGGAGTTCCTTGAAAGAATACTCTTGAGAACACAAAGAAAAGACAAAATGTCCTACTTCAAATCCACTGTTGATAAAAATTAGGGGAAAATTGGAATGACCACTTGCCAAATATTCCTGAGATGCGGAACATTTAAAGAGTAAAAAGTTAAGAGGTTTTCATAACAATGTTTTACTTAAATTCATAATTCAAATTGCGAAGGAACCCTCGCTTCCGTCTCACCTTGGGGGGGGGGGATGGCTACACATAGGCTAAAATGCTCTCTTTTAAGCAATTGCCGTATTTCAATTTTCATAGGAGATTATCAAGAATTTCGTAAGCATAGGTCCTTGTTTCGCAAACGAAAAACAATTGTGAATAAAGACTCTAAAAGTACATCGACGGTGGCTAGGCCAGAACATTGTGCATGATAAAAATACAGTAAGAGATATTTAATTCTCGATGGCTTGAGAATAATCAAATACACCAAAGATTTTATTTTGCTGTTATTGTGTCCTGACAATATTTATAAGTTGACCTTGAATTTTTCGTAGGCTCTATTTTCACACTTTCTTTGAGTAACTGCGATGCCGGATCCCCTATCGAAATATTTACCCTGTAATTGAATAAATTATTAAAACATATCCTCTTCAAGCTTCGCTTAACGAGCCAACACCCATGTTACGCATGCTATCAGCATGATAGAGCTGGTCATCATTACTGCAGACTCGTTACACAGGTCTTCCGTACAACAAGTTGCGTCACACGTAATGTTTTCGCCTCGAGAAAAGTACTCTATCAGCTTCTTGCACTCTTCAGTCGCTCGCTCTAGTCTCTTACATAGTCCCTGTATATTGCATCCTCTGATGTACTGCTTGGTTTCGGCGCCAGTGTGCGGTGGCAGTATAACGGTTGCGTTGAGGCAGGTTGTATAATGTGCTGGGCAATCCTGTACTTTTTGATCTCTATTACATTCTTCCCAGCTATTGACACTCATACAATGAAAGCACTTCAAACCGCGCACTGTAAATGTACGGTCGTGTTAGTCATTAAAACTGGCGTCCGTCTGGGAATCAGTTGGATAGAGTAATTTTTTTGTTCCCAGACTCCTGTCATTTTCCCGCCTGCCTCATTTCTTCAGTGATCGACTCCACTGACCAACAATTTGAGTTAACGTAGAGGCTCTTTCAAACCCAGACTCTACCGGCTAAACACCGAACAGCCAAACTACGTACTCTGGTAACTAATCAGTTGAAATATGTTTGAGCTGGCATTAACAGCGTTCTTCGCAGATTTATTCTCCATAAAGTGACCAAAATTCAAACGAGATTAGAAATATCGTCCTTGCAAGGAACATATTCATGGAGTTTAAAGTACTAGGTAGACTAAATATAACACAATTACGAAGAAAACGGTAATCAGAGAAAGTTACGCTATGATAAACAGACTGGAAAACTAGGTATATGAACAGTTTCTGTGCAGAATAAAGTCTTGGTCGCATATTTCTTAAATAAATCAAGTTGAGAATGTAAATCTACCGTCAATATTTACATTTTTGCGTCGTATGGTGTATTAGGAATTTTTTTTTTAACTTTGCAAGCCGCGGATGATAAAGTGAAATAATTACTTACCATTATCGAGTACGAGCAGGAAAGGAATAGCAGCAAGAATTTTCATGCTTTGCGCTGTCGTAGTATATGTTCAGGGAAAAATAGTCGTACGAAGAATTGGTTATCAAGGCTGGAATTATGATAATTTCAACCCATGTACTAACCAATTAAAAACTTGGATTTTCTTATCATAATTTCTATGTTTTCGTCTGTAAGAAGACATTTTAAAATATACAGCAACAGCACTTTTCACATCACGAAAAGGCAACCACCGAAAAAATTACAGTTTTTCGTCGGCTACGTAATTTTTTTTATTATTATAATTATTATTATATTCTTTTGGCCCTTTTCAGAATTTTTTTTGGTTTTATCTTTTTTAGGCATGATATGCTGCAACAATGAATTGCGTGGTGTAACAAAGATGTTTCCACCTTGTTTGCTGTTAATATTTGCATAAATTTCGAGTTATCATTGTAGCCTCGATCCGAGCCCACCAACAGCTTGTGCGATTTTTTTTCCGCTGGCCAGTAACACACGCCAACCTAAAGAGCTGTTGGGTTTTCAAAGCCGTCTCAAATTCGGTGATAGTGTCCTTTGGCAAACCATGACAATGAGAATAACGAGAACGTGGCAAAACAAACAGTGAAATAAACATAGAGTATCCGGTCAATTCGCCACCACTACTGAGAGTCAACTCGCCACCAGTGGCAAATTGACTAAGATTTTATGTGTTGTACCTCAATTATAGAACGTTAATCGTTAAAAGAAAGAAGAATAGCGAGTTTCAGTGTTACATGAAATGAAATAAAACATGTTTATATCATGAAGATTATGACCAGTTTACGTGCAGTTTGCGAACTCAATTTACCACCGATACGGTGGTGTGTCGACTCTCAATGGTGGTGGCGAGTTTGTAGTGGTGGTGAGTTGACCTGAAACGAAACAAAGAGCCCAGTTGTACGAATGATGGATAACACTATTCAACAGAAAATCGCTATCCAGCGGATAAGTGTTAATAAAACGTACTATTCATCGGATAGAGATTTATCCAATGGATAGCGTTATCCATCATTCGTACAACTGGGACCTGAACAACTTTTGTCAGCTCGTGCATTTTAAATTTTGTGAATATTCTTGTGGTCCTTTGCAAAATAACATCGTGAATTTACCGATACTTGCACGGCCCTATGGAAAATTTTGCAACTCAACGTTAGCCGCTCCCTGAAATTGTGAATTGGTTCCGCCAGGGTTGGTTAGCAGTTCCGGCCATTCGCGAAATTCTTAAAAAGCTTGTAATCATTTTTAATCTCCCAATTACAGTCTTTGGCCAACTTTAAGCGCCAGCCTTGGATTCGCTCTTCTGCAAAATGTCCGGAAAGGTCAGAACCACCTAAATTTGATGCGCTGCATGGTTACCAGGTGCCCATAGCCTTATGGGTAAGGAATTACTTAACAGAAATAAGATGGCGTCTATGGATGACCGTCAGAAACAAGTCGAAGATAAAAAGCAAGAACTTCTCCGTCGTATTGCGGAGAAAAAGAAAATCGATAAAGGCAAACCACCACCCCTTCCACCCTCTAGCGATGGGAATACACCAACGGCTTCTCGGGCGGGTCCAATGTTTCTGAACGATGGCAATTTCCTAGCTCGCTTTCAAGCCATGCAACAGCAAAGTACATCCAGTCCTTCCACTTCAACCGCAACTATCACAGGCCCAGAAACTCGTCCAACTGTGAGCATGAAGCTAACAACAGTTAAAAAATCTACGCCAGTTAAACCTGTTTCCGCCAGGCCCGAGGTATTCGAGGATCCGGAAGAAGTGGAAGAAAATGGTAATTTGAATTTCATTTCGAAGCTTTCGCTTCGTAGTTTCTGAGGTGATCTCGATAGCTGAGCGTTGCCAAACGAGCTAATGTTTCAGTATGGTGTAATTTTGATCTCACTAAATGCTAGAAAATGTTCTGATGAGCGGTATAATTAAGTTCCCCCACCAGAGGACAAGGAAATGCTCGATGTCATTGAAGTTCTGGCCGCCAGAGTTGTGCGAGGAGGCGATCAGGTGGAACGTATCGCTATACAGGACAACTCAAACAACCCAAATTATAGGTAGGTTTGTCATAACTAACGAATAGATTCCATGCTACCATGCATCAGAAGTAGATCATGAATGACACCAAACTGTGGTGAAAACAAAAGGCGCAGCTAGATGTGTCACTGATGTTCTTACCGCATTTTTAGGTCTTCTGTGATCTATTTCTGTATAGACCTATGGCAACACAGAATCCCTTTACTTTATATGATATAAAAGCAAGATGTTGTTAATGGTGATGCATATGTTGTGTATGTCCTCAAGTATTTCTCGAGTAAAAAGCAATCAGAATGTGTGCATAATTCAGCTTATCATATTATGTGTCATATCTCATTCCTCAGAGTGCCAACAAGGTGGATGTAATCTTTATTTACTCCCCTGTTTTATTATGAATTTGAACCACAGGATAAAGAGCCATTTTGCAGTTGTAATAAATATTTGAGTGGCTCTGCAGTTTGTCAACGAAAACACAAGCAAAATGTTGTAAAAAAAAAAGTTATAAATGTTAAATGAGAGGAATCAATTTTGGTTTTGTGCATAAAGAATGAGTAGGTACAAATTGCAATTGCTAACTGGCTCAGCAGTGGAACATGGTGCATACAAAATGAGAAGGAGATAATTCTTAAGCCTAACATTCCAAACTAATTTTGGAAAATAAAAAACTAAGCTCTCTAAACTAAGGTTTTTATAAGTGGGAAGTGTTTTTCTTAGTCAGGATAAGTGCTTTATAATTGTTGGCTGAGATCTTTGTAAGGTAGTGTAACAATTCTGTTTTTTTATAAGTGGAATTGGGTTTTGTCAGTACTAAAAACCTGAAGTCTAGAAAATGGAAACAATGACAGAAAAAATTCTTGGGAAAGTCTTGAATTTTGTTTACAAATATGTGCAGGGAATCTCACATGATGCTAAGAAAGGAGTGTGTTTTGAGGTGCTCATAATGGAGGTTGAAGTTCCCCATGTGATTTACAAGAATAAAAAGGGCTAATTACAAAGGAGAATCTATCAATTTGTCATCATTCACAAGGGGTACCATCAGTCAAAGAGTGGATATAAATCTACTAAGCATGACAAAAACTTAGATATGAAATAAATCATTGTAAACTGAGAAAATAATTATTTCAAGAACTCTTCAAAAACTGCTTTTGTTTATTTTCTTTTATTTTTCCCTACAGCTTTTTGTTTGATGTCAATAGTCAAGGTCACAAATACTACAAAAATCTTGTTAGATGTTTAAGAAGTGCAGGGCAAGGAGCCAGCAAAGGTGTAGACAGTGAGCACAGTGCAAGCACTGGAATGCAAAAGAGGAAAAGGAAAAGCAGGTGGGATCCAAATCCTCCAAAATCAGCTGGCTCATCATCATCTTCTAACAGTGATGCAGCAGTTGCTGCTGCTTTGGCTGTGGCAGCAGAAATTGAGCACAGCATACCAATGAGTAATAAGGAGGAAGAAGAACGTCAGAAACAGATTAAAGAACAGCAAGAGGTAATAACTGAGGAAAGCTGTTATGCTTTGATAAATGTGGAAAAAATAAGTATTCATGAGAACACTGTTCTTTGTCCATAATTTTGCGTGTGAAAGATATGAAGAACCTTAAGTAGTATGGAAAGCAACACGGGGAGATGTTGATTAAGAAATGAATGAATATTATTAGTTAGGATTTGGAAAAAAGCTGGCTGTGTTAAATGATGGCACCCCATCTTAACTGCAGCATAATGTTTGTGGGCAGTGTTGAGTTCCATGCAAATTTTGGTGATGTTATGATGTTGTTTTGCAGAGGATGACTACAAAATGTACAAATTTTTATACGCACATGTTGAGCAGTTGTTTTGCCCACTAGATCTTTTGTTTTGCCACATCCTGGTTTCCATTGCAAATTTGGTGTGGTTAAGGTCCCCAAAAGCATCTCTAAACATGGATTTCTCCTGTAATTGCATGGTTCAAAATGTTTTCATTGTGTTGCTTATTTAGAACTACTGGACCAAAGATACCAATGATTTTTTTTTTTTGTGGTTGTAGATTCAAGAGATGTACATGAGAATATTAGCTCAACGCACAGCTGGTCAGGCCAGTGCAGCAATAAAGCAAGACGAAGACAAACCGAAGTATGAGTATGATTCAGATGAGGACATAGATGGTGGCACATGGGAACATAAAAGAAGAAAAAAGGAAATGAGCAAAACAATAGGTTGGGAAAACCTTTGTGTTACTTTTACCTTACACTTTTGAGATCTGGAGTTTATTTTTGTAACTGAGCTTCATATAATGTTTTTTTTCTTTTTGGTTGGTTTTGAGATTTTAGTTGATGGTCTTTTATTGATTGAAAATTTTTTTTTTTTTTTTTATGACAGTCACTTCATTTTATGTTGCAGTGGCAACCAGTCTGTCAACTTCTAAAAGTAGCATTGCTATTGTTTACCATTAAAAGTAACAGTTCAATCATTGTGCAATTTGTTTAGCTGAGATGAAATCGTGAATGACTCTTTGAAGGGATCAGGGATTATGACAAGTGAATTATTACCTGTGTTTATGAGGTTGTTAATCTGCTGAATTAATGGTATCATACAGAAGAACATTTCAGAAATGTTTCACACAATCTCTGTAGTTATGTCATCATTGCAAGCAGTGAGCAATGCTAGGACATTTTTAGTCATTTTTATGATGCCAGTAAAAACAGCTGGAGGTTAAAGGGTTAAGTTGTATTCAATGTGTGCCAAATTTTAGTGTGGAAAACATTTAGATCTTGGGCATGAATGAGTCAACCCTTTCACTCCCAAGATCTTATTAGTAATTCTCCTTACTATCTGCCATACAATTCTTATGATGTTAGTTCAGAGAATTTGGTATTGGATCAACTAATAATCCCATAATTGATATTCTTCTCTATTCTCATCACCTACCTGTTTGATATTGTATTGATATTGTAAGGAGAAATTCTGTCTTGGTCACTTGTGGGAGTGAAAGGGTTAACATAGAGTCAAACCTTGTATAGATAGAGTAATATGAAGCTTTCATCAAAATTTTCATTGCTTTAGAAAAAGCGAAAGAACTCACCGAGAAAGGAAAGGGCAAACATCACCTTGGTGACTTCCTTCCTCCAGAAGAACTGAAAAAGTTTACAGCCAAAGTCAAAGCTGTGAAAGGGGAGTCGTCATTGGACAGCTTTGATTTCTCTGACTATGCTGAGCATAAGATAACAGAGAGCAACATTGGGTACAAAATGCTGCAACAAGCTGGATGGAAGGAAGGGATGGGACTTGGATCTCAAGGACAGGGGATCACAGCACCTGTGAATAGGTACAGTATGGAACACTGCACTTACTCTTTTCATGTGTATTGATATTTCATAAGGAAAAAAATTTCAGGCTTAGAAAGTCTACTGTTTTTTGAGAATCATGTTGTTGTTGCTGCCCTGTTGGTGATTTCTTGTCAGTATTTTAATCTGTGTAATTAATTTGGTAAAAGAAAATGTAACAATGTCAATGTTGATTATGGACAATGTGGTGGTCAGGTGGTTAATAACCTGTAACAGGCCTCAAGAGATTCATGTTTCACCCCTGGTCAAATCACTTTGTTCTAGAGCAGAAAATATAACTCTCCTTTTAAATATAATGGTGGAAATAAAAGTAAGAACATTTTGACTTAACACCTGGAGCTGGCTAAGGAGTAAACTGTTGCAGAAATTTCAACAAATACTACACTGCATGTTTGTGCCATTGAAAGGAGGCAAAGAAACACTCCTCGTGGCTTCAAAGTATTGATAATAGGGTAAACTGAAGCACTGAAACCTCTAGGCTCACATGGCTTTTAGGCTATGTAGTCATTAATTACCTGTTTTATAATAGAGTAATGTTTCTATATGTTAGCACAAGCTTCAAAAGGTTTGGTGAAGTCTGTGAGTTCAATTTAAGAGGCTTAAAATGTATTAACATTTTGTCCAAAAAACACTACATCAACTGCATTTATCGGCTAATGTGTACCTATGTATGTGTTTCACCAATGGCAGGGGTCGTGCACCAGAGGATATTGGAGGTCTGGGTGAAGACAAGCCTGGTGAAATAAACAGGGATGATGATGAGTTTGACTTGTATCGCAAGAGGATGATGTTAGCTTACAGATTTAGACCCAATCCCCTTGTAAGAATTCTTCTATTATTTAAAAGTTTTAATCATTTGTTGTGTGCTTGGTATTTGATTTATTAAGGTTGACTTAAACAAGAGTATCATTATTTTTTAATAATTGAACATTTCAAAATTTCTCTGTTCTTTGATTATGTTTCATTCAGCCCTTTCTTGTCAAAATAATTTCCTTTTAAGACATAAGAATAGCCATGATATGTATTTCAGATTGCTCCCTGAACAGATGTCAAATAATTCATTTTGTTTTGTTTTTCTTTTTCAGAATAACCCTAGAAGACCCTACTATTAGATTATGGAAAACCTTTAGTATTTCACTTGAAAAATATGATTGTACATCATTAGATAAATCATTTTGAATATGTCTGTTGCAACAGTTGGTCATGTGACCAATAATTGTTAAAAATTCTGTTGTAATTATGATAATTCAAGAAACTTTAAGAGCATGTTTCATACAGGCAGAATGCAGATTTTTGGGAAAATTCCACTGAAGATGGTTAGTTTAAAAGACAATCTGAGGTCTTCAGGTTTCAATACTTTCATCTTGAAGTGAGAAGTCTTTGCCCAGGGAAGTTTTGTATTGTAAGGTACAGGAAAACAGGCCTGATTCATGTATTTATAAGAGGTAAAAAGAAGCAATAAATAAGGAAGAACAAACTTGTAAGCCATATGGGGAAAAAGTGTGTCTAAATAGTAAATGATACCTTGCCTAAACAAATCTTCCTTATTTGTGATGGCATACCAGTAACCATGACGAGGATATTGGTCTGAAAATCTACACAGTAGCAAGCATATAGCCATTACTTTAATTTCTGGGAAAAATAAGTGTTGAAACTTGCCAGATCATCATGTTTAGGAAAAGGAGATCATGTAATGATTATATTGCAAAAAAACCTCTTGTACTCAGCAAGTAAACAATAAACAGTCCTTTTTTTTGCTTAGTTTATGGGAAGCCATTTCTTCCTTGCACCCTCTTTTTTTTTCTTTCTTTACTTTCAAATTAAGGATCTGAAAGGGAGAGGTCAAAGTCTTTAGAACCTTCACTGAAGTTAAGGAAACAACTTGTAACTGGTGAATCCTTAGACAAAAAAGTCTAATTTTGTCATTTGCTTCTGTATTCACTCTGCCTCATTCTTAACCCTTTGACTTGTAAGAGTGATTAGCATCTAATTTCTCTTATCAATACCACCTCTGAATCACACATTAAGTTCAGGAGAATACAGGAAAATTATCACCAACTAAAGAAGCTCTTGATTGCAAATGAAATTCTCATTGTCAGCACCTTAGGTAATGTATGGGAGTAGGAAACAATATAGAGAATATGCATACTGATGTTAGGGTGTAACAGGGTTATTCTCTGCGGTCAGTGATAGATTATTATCTCCTTGGTGTTAATTTACTTAAGCAAATCCTCTTTAAAGGTTTTCTTTTTATGTAAAGACAATCTTTGATGCCTAAAGGCAAGGCTGAAGAAAATTATTAATAACGATTTTTTTTTTGCCTGCTAAGTACAATAGTTGTATTATCATCCAATAACTGGATTTGCTTTTTCATAGCACTGTTGGTATTTTAATTTGGAACCTAACTATTCTCTGAAAGCTTAGGAAAGCAATCTATCATTCTTCTCAGAATGGTTTGGATACAAAAAAGCATGAGCAAAATATTATTTCAAACTAAAACTCGAGTTGGCAGTGCTGCGCAGGAGTGAATTTCCTTTTACGGCTGTTATTTGCATACATAAGTGGGCTCTCGGCGGCGGAACCAAAAGAGTGAAGGAGGAAAGACATGGAATGGTAGATTAAATGATCTGTCAAAATACTCAAAAACTGACCTCGTTATCAGCGCTGCAGGACGCGTGCTTCCCCGCCCGCGGAAGAGTTTTAGACGAGTCGGGTAGAGGTTTGTCGGGGGTCTGGCACTAATATTGCCGACCTCTCACCTGCTCGCTTTACTCCAGACTATGACTCCCTCGCGGGATAGGAGAGCCCGCTTGCAGACAAATAGAGCATTAGTGGTTTAAATTTTAAAAAATCCTAACTGATGGCAGGCAACCCAGCTTTTGAAACTATCTCTTGATAAATCTTATTGGGTGACAGAATGCGGGAACATCAGTTTTCAAATCCAGTTCTCTCAGCCACTTGAACACCCTGTATCCTGTGATGTCCAACAATGTTAAAACGTGTTAAGGATAAGTGTCTTTCCTAAAGAAGTGTCTGCCTTGAGGGGAGTGAAATTGATAGACTTACTGGGAAATTTAACTGCCAGGGTCACGTGTTACAGATAGTCGCCCTTTTAAGCAGGAGGTGTCAGCCACAAATTGACAGGCCTTGCGGAGAGAAGTACGGAGTGGACTTTTGTGGGGCATTTTGCAGTAACCCAAAGAGCAAAAAAAATTGTTTGCACTTTTGGAAGATCTTCTCACCTTTGAAATCAGACAAAGTGGACTTTCCAAGCCATAACTGTGTGGGAATAGCTAATTTAAAACCAGGATCAGAGGAGTGACATTGCTACTGGCTGAAAAACAGCAGTGAGATTTTGTCAACATTTCATCCATTCTGTTTATTTCGTAGGACGTTCTTCTGTTCACAGAATTTTAAAACTGCTGTTTTATTCATTCCGTTAAACTTCATTAGCCGTACAGATAAAGAATCCAGTGGCGCGAACCAAAGGTAGAATAAAGAATATTACTGTACTTCGTTTTCGCTGCTGTCATTCATAATTTCGTCAGTGATAGTGAGAGGATAAGGATAATACTGTCTAACAGGGTGAAAGAAGTGATGGCTAAAATTAACGACAGCACGTACCTACCCCGAGAGTACATCGTGATCACCCAACTTCACGGGGCCGCCAAAAACATGCGCCCTGGTCCTCTTCCAGGACAGGTTATTCCTCCTTTAGGCCAAGTGCTACCGAGCTGCGCCAGTGGTGCACCCATACTAACGCAGCCATCTATTACAGTGGCCTGTGGAGGAATTTATTTGTCACAAAAGCGGTTCTCTCTAACTTATGGTGAAGACAGAAATTTATTATTCACAATTTCATTAAAACGAAGGAAGAATGGAATATCTTATTTTCATCTTTTTTTTGACCAACTGGAGAGGCCTAATGATATTACATTTATGTACGTACATGTATCATAATCATGTACTTAAGTGCCTTCATCCAGTCGGAAAGTGGCCGAATAAAACAGATCCTTTGTTGTAACGTGTTTTTCGACACTGATGTCTATTGAAAAACAGCACCTTGTTAATTCAAAATGCCCATGGAAAAGAAAACATCAATATATAGTGGAGTTCTGACTGCCAGAAGCATTTTACCTAGGTTATATGCTTCTGTAAGGACTAAAAAATGCTGTTCAAGCAAAACGATTTTAGTGCAAGTAACAATACTATTTGTGGCTCTCTATTGTTGGTACTTCTTTGCTTTAATTGAAAATCTGTCCATAGCGGCGAATCCTACTTCGTTTTATAATTGAACGGATCAGAACGAAGAACTCGGTGTCGACTTTTTTGAGCCCGCCCTCTGAGGTCGGAAAACTCATTTGAATTACAAATAGTTTTAAAAATTAATATTCATATTTGCGCTCAGTCTTGCACGTGGAAAAAGCTTACGTACTACAAGAAATGTAAGCGTCTTTTTTTGCTTCTATGGATTCAAGAAATACGCCATATCGACCCTGTTACCTTGGTATTGTACGTTCTGTCATGTTCGGCGAGTGTTTCTGTATAATGAATCAAGTGGTTCAGATGCAATGTCGAGGATTCATGCTTTTCACTTTACCAGGAATTTTCTCAAGGTAAATAACCTCTGAAAAGATATATTCGAATAGTAATACAGTGTTCATCTTTCTCTTTACGGCCCTTGTAAATAAATTTTTATTGAGTCAAATATGAGAAGGAAGGGCGTGATGTACATAGCACAGTAAATGACAAATTCTCAGCGGCAGCCGCCATGACAGTTCTTCTTTGAACATCGCTTTTGTGACGACGCGAGAAATTTGTACTTTGAATTATCATGAGTGCGTATCGCTTATTTTTCTTTTTCATTCCTGTACACATTTTGCAAGTAGCTTTTAAGATTAAAGAGTGTTGACCTTAAACTTGTCAAATACCCATTTCGTTCCAAGGTAAAAGGTCACAAGTCAAAGTGAGCTAAGTCATTGCAAAACAATTACAAATTTTGTTTTTCAATGCTTAGTAAGTTATTACATTGAAATTTCCTAACGCCTTTTTCCGATATGACCAAAAAAACATTGAATTTTTCAGCGGAAAATATGTGGTTCTAAATGAGTTTTTCTATTCCGGCAGACGTTTGCCTTCGTTATTTAGTATGAAAAACACTCGAGGATATGTACGTATTTACAATATAATTATCTCTATTTTTCTCCATGGAACAGTATCAAGAAGAAAATGAGAAAACCTCAAAATCAAAGAAAGTCCTGGAAGGAAATAAATACCTGACAACTCAAAACAAGGTTAGATCATTGGATTTTTTTTATAATAACTTAGTTATCCAGGCTCATTCGACTGTTTTGAACGACTTAACTTGGATTTAAAGAATGTTTCCAGCTCGAAACCAATTCAGTCAATAATAAATGGAAACGGCAAACTAAGAAAATGAATCAATTTCTTTATTGTCTGATTTCCTGAATGTCTTTCTGATTGAGGTGGCTTTCAATTGTTTTCAGCAGTGTTCTTTTGATGTATGAATATACCATAAAGTAAATACTTTTTATCCGTTTCAAAGTGTCAAATTAATACCCTGTCATTATTGCGCATGTTATGACTTTCTTTCTGATTAACTAAGTTACCATAGCAACGGTTAAGCCTATCAAATCATCCCCTTGTTCTAAGATTACAGGGGGCCCAAGCTCTCCTAGAGAGGATAATATTATAGAGGTTTGTAGGGGAGTTTAGGCTCCGCTCTGTAACTCCTTAAATAACACAGCAAATAACTTAAAACTGTACAGGCAGTAATGGGATGAGAGCTTAGCTGAAACTCGACGAAATAGCCTGAAAGCGTTACAAGAAAACAAAAATAACACAAGCAACACTATCTGGTATAATTCTCTGACCTGGCATATTTCGTATCTGCTTAGGGCCTCATCCAAGCCTTAGCATTTGTATTTTGCATTTGAATTCCTTCCCGCATCAAAATGACCATGGAAATCTAGCCTGGTTTTACACAAAGATAATACTGACTTTCGTCAGAACCTCCAAATAAGCGCAATACGGCCTTAGGGCACGATTAGAAGATTTCAATTTTTTTTGGAATGCTTTACTATAGCAAGCCAATCTTTATTCGAGAGCAAACTGAAAAAGAAGGAAAAGGAGTTACCCAGCTTATTCATTAGCTGAGCTCTTACAACAAATACTACTGGGCCATGGAATTTCTTTTTACAAGGCGTCCTATTGATGTACTAACGTAAAAGCCAAGATGATGGTCGTAAGATATTTAAAGAGGCTTTCATTTGATGACAAATTTCCGTCAAGGCCTGAATGAGGCCGGAATGTCCCTTCTCTCGAGGCAGAACACAATTCAATGTGCTCAGGTTTCTATATTTCATGAACAAAGTCATAGAATTTCCGATTAGTTTTGAGTCTGATAGTTTCCTATGCTATTACCTCTTTCTATAATAAGGACCGTGAGCTCAATTGTTGAATGTCTCATCCTTAAAGCGGAAAAAAAAAGTCAGTATGTTCCTACAGTTATCATCTCTTAAATTTTTTATTCAGAATTTTTTTTGAGATCTCTGATTTGTTTAATGGTCTTTTAGTTTCATACAAAAATGAACCTTTTTTATTTTAAACTGTTATGAAGTTAGTTTAAAATCCCAAAAACATATTGTTATGTTAAATTTCTTCCTGAGTCTGTCATCAAATTATGTGGAAACACTTTTTGGTGTGATTCAGTAAAGATCTTCCAGTCTAAGTATGGAGAC